AAAAATAATAAAATATTTTTTAAAAAACAAAAAACCACCGGGCATGGTGGCGCACACCTTTATAATCCCAGCACTCAGTAGGCAGAGGCAGGCGGATCTCTGTGAGTTCAAGGCCAGCCTGGTCTACATAGTGAGTTCCAGGACAGCTGGGGCTACAGGGAGACCCTGTCTCAAAAAGACCAAAAAAAAACCCAAAAAAAAACAAAACAAAAAAAGCCTTCTATTTGCTTGTTAGTACACTTTACGAGAAATTTTTTTAAAAATCCATGTTTACATCTTGCTTTATAAAACCTGGAGACGCGCTAGTTTACAAAACACTCAGTACAGATTTGGCTGCTATGTGACTTGTTGGGCACAGGTGACTGTTATCACACCTTTCTGAGCCTTGTGGGTCTTCACCTTATCTGTAGTGCAAAGGCTATAATGACAGGCTTGCAAATGCCTGGCTATTTTCAGGATTTAGTGCCTATACTGGTCCACTGCTGTGCACACCAAGCACATCCCAGCTCCGCTCACTGGGGAGTAAGCCAAAAAACTAGCCAATGGGAGCGATATGAATTAATGGGTATGTGATATGAGTTAAAGGCACAGTTGTTCATTTGAATTCCGTTCCCCAAGTGCTCTGAAAATAAAACAGGGATTTGTTTGGAACCAGAAAGTGCTTCGAAACCCTGGTCCAGACCTTTAAGAACCAGCCACCGTAGCCAGAAGGGGCCAAGAAACCGAAGAAAGAGGCAAGGAGCTCCAGGACTGCACAAAGTGCCACTTACTGGGAACTTACAGACAGAAGTAGGCATTTTGTGGCAGCAAGACAGGAGGATGCCCACATCCCAGCGAGGAAGGGATGTCTATGCTAAGCTGAGACAAAGGTGAGCCGCCACAGCCACCAAAACATACCTGGCCTGTCTCAGAGACAATCAACATGTCAAATGTCGCTTTAAGAAACAGTCTGCGGCCCCAGTGTTCGGCACAACACACTCTGCTGACTCTCTTAATAACTTTATGTATTCTGTAGTGTTCAGGGTGTGAGAGTGACCCAAAGTGGCACTTGTAACAAACAGCTAAAGTCGTGTCAACATGGTTTCCTAAAGCTATAGGTAGTGTGTTATTGACACTGTCCTAACACCTTGTCCTACTATTACTCCTTAACAAAGGAGGTAAATCTTGCTGCTGCTGTTTTTGAGACAAGGTCCCAATGTGTTACCCAGTCTAGGAAGAACTCTTGAATTCAAATGATTCTCTGCTTCAGCCTGTTGAGCAGCAGGAAGGAAACATTTTCAAGCTCATCTTTAAGGAATGGTATGTGTAAACTTGAATACCTATCTGAAACCAGGCCACTGAGCTCTACCCAATCCTGAAGAAATACTCAAAGCCGTGCATATTAATTACCAGATCGCTATATTGGTATTACAAGTACCCAGTCATCTACATTTATCACATATACCATACAACACTGAACAACACGCAGACAGTAAAATATGCTTAGGAAGAATTCAGGGTTCGAGAACCTGGTGTTAGTGTGTTACATAGATAAATGAGAATTCATTAAGAACTCTATTCTTCTATTTGAAGGGTTAAATTTTGCCTCAGCAGAGAGCTAATGGAGCATGCCTCCTTTCATCCCTGTAGTTGGTAAGACCCTGAGAAATCGTGCCAAAACTCACCCATCAAACTGATGCCACACTGCAGAAGCACGTGGGCTTCCAGGCTGTGCCAGACTGGATGTTGCCTGGGAAACCGTTATTTGTTTTTCTCAAGCTAGAAGGAAAAGTGTGCGGCGAGGACTATTTCAGAACTGGCTGCTGCCCTTTGGTAGCTTCACAGGCCTCTGGGCTTGCCTGCCTTCCGTCCACTGCACCAGTTTGAACTGGTTCTATGTGCTCCAGTTAGCAGATATTTGTCCAAATTTGACTCCTTCACTGTGTAGACATACCGCAAACCAGTAACAGCAAAGCCATGAAGTGTTTGGTTTTCCTCTGTGATACTTGCTTTATTTTAATTGTTTCTTTTGAGCCAGTGTTTTAAAAATCAGGATATGAGGCTGGTGTGGTGACCCACACCTTTAGTCCCAGCACCTAGAGGCAGGCAGATCTCTGTGAGATCGAGGCCAGCCTGATCTACGTAGCAAGTTCCAGGCCAGCCAGGGTCACATAGTAAGTTAAATAAAAATCAGGATATAGCTCATAAAACCTATATTTACAACTTTTTCTTTTGAAAAGTCAGAATAGTACTGCAACTGTATATCCTCATGGAGCAATCTGCTAGAGCAGCATGGCTACTGCCCGCTTACCTAGCCTCCTTTATTGGAATTGATCACTTAAAAATAAGAGGTGGGGGGCTGGAGAGATGGCTCAGCAATTAAGAACACTAGTTCTTGCAGAAGACCCGGGTTCAAATCCCAACACCCACATGGCAGCTAACAACTGTCCGTAACTCCAGTTCCAGGGGATCCGACGGGCTCGTCTGTCCTCCACGGGCATTGCATGACATGGGTGCACTTACCTACACACAGGCAATACACACATATGCATAAAATAAAAATAATAAATAAAATATAAAAAAAAAAAGAGGTAGGCTGGGCGTGGTGACACATGCCTTTAATCCCAGCACTTGGGAAGCAGAGGCAGGTGGACCTCTGTGAGTTCAAGACCAGCCGATCTACATAGCGAGTTCCAGGCCAGCTAGGGCTACAGGGAGACCCTGTCTCAAAAAAGCCATAATAATAATAATAATTAATAATAATATAGGGGGGTTGGGTGTGGTGGCCATACTTTTAAGCCCAGCACTCAAGGAGCACAAGCAGATGGAAGTCTATGAGTTGAAGGCCAGCCTGATCTACATAATGAATTCCAGGCCAGCCACGGCTATAAAGTGAGATCCTGTCTTCAAAAGGTTCTGGCCTATAATCCCAGTGCTTGGGAGATGAGAAGAACAGGTGTCCTGGGCCTTGGCTACATAGCAAGTTTGAGGTCAGCCACAGCTACATGAGATTTTTATCTCAAGGATCAGGAGTTCAAAGCCAGCCCTGGCTACAAAGGGAGTTCTACAGGAGACTATATGGGACTTTGTCTCAAAAAAAGTGAGTTCTGGTTTTGGTCTGTGTTTGTTTTGCTTTGTTTTAAACAGCAGCTCATTATAAGTATCCCCGGATGCCCTTGAACTCATAATTCTCTTACCACCATCTCACCCCACTAAGATTATAGGTATGAGCCAGCATGCCCCAGTAGAATAAAACATGTAAGCTTTGGGGGTTAGCAAGATGGTTCAGTGGGTAAGGTTGCTAGCTGTCAATTCTGAAGACTTCATTTGAATCCTTGAATCCACATGATGGAAGGAAGGAACTCACTCCAGCAATTTGTCTTCTGATTTTCACAAATGAGCTGTACACACACACACACACACGTTTTAGGTTTTTTATTTTTTATTTATTTTTATTGTATGTGTATGAGTGTTTGCCTGAATATTAAGTATGTGTACCATGTGTGTGCCTGGTGTTCTCAGAGGCCAGAAGGGGTGGTGTATCACCTGGAATTGGAATTAAGAACAGTTGTGAGCAGCCATGTGGGGTGCTGGGAACTGAACCGGCAGAGTCCGCTGCAAGAGCAGCCAATGCTCTTAACTACTGAGCCATCTCTCCAGTCTTAATAAATAAATGTTAAAGACAAAAATGTAGGATTTTAAAGCACTGACTGACCTCGTATGATGGAAAGTGAGGAAACAGACGTGAGTGTAGACAGGGTGCTGCAGTGTCTCCGCCTTCTACTCAGTGCCCCCAAATCCAGGATCCCCCAAATTACATAAAGTGGAACTAGATGGTTAAGCCTGAGCCTGCTCTCCTCAGTAGTGACCCGGGACTTGTCAGGCTCGTCCTACGCAGCCGAAGCCCACGGAGCTGGCCTTACAGTCAGAGGTCTCCCTGCCAGGCTTTGAAATGGCTGTTAGGAGACGCTGAGCTCCACATCTCAAAGACAGGAGCATGAGAGTTTCCATAGTGGTTTCAGCGGCACTTTGATAGAGCCCATGGTCAGACACCCAGAAAACAAAGGGGCCTTGGCCTGAAGTGACAGACTAAGGTCTGTTAGTTTAGGTCTCAGTCCCAAATGTGTAGAACAGATGGCCAGATCTGATCAGTGTTAGCTTGGCTGGTCTCTAGGCTTGGCTGAGATGAACTGGGGAACGGGCAGCTGGACTCATCCAGTGGCACAGAGAGGAGCCATGTTTGTACCTAGTGAACTCCACCAGAGGAAGCCCCAAGCACTGCCCCAGCAGCCCAAGGCTGCACCGCCCACTGCCTGAGGCTCAGCCACTACAGGAAGTGCTGTCCCTCAGTGATAAGGAAAGGATGACTCAGTCTTGAGGGAGAAGCCAAGCTGAGTTCCCAGTCTTTTCTCCTCTTGCCTTCCTTCCCGTTTCCTTCCTCTCTGCCTGGCGATAAAGGGACTAGACCATAGGATCTTCCTCGCTCCGACGAGTAAGTATGCACCCCCGAACCACGTCCAGCCATCACCTACAGAGCAGGGCTCAGGCCTGGGACGTCCACTGGGAGAACTTGCACAAAACATTGGTGGTTCTTTCCGTTTAAAGCAATCATGTGTTTCTTCTCTCATTTTTGTTAACAGGCCAGGGTTGCGGATTTTTCGTAGTCTACTTCCTCCTGAAGTATCAGTCTGTGGTTAATCAAGCTCTGCACAAGCAATCATAATAAAGCTTTAAATTAATGAGGTGTAAGCTTCTCCAGGGTCCTGATTCCGTGACTCCACCAGTTTATCGAAGATTTTTAAACCTGCTGTCACCAGACACATTGCTGGTGGGTGACATACGGGAAACCAATACAGTCACTCACAGTAGAGCTGGTGGCAGCCTCGGTACCCCCTCCAAGACATAAGTCAAAATAGTCTGCTCTTGGCATAGCAGTAGTTTCATTTCCTTCCGTAGCCGTCGCCCGGTGGGCGTGGCGTCGGTGTGGGTTTAGTTCCCAGTGAGGTGTCAGGTGCCAGCAGAGGACAGGGTAGGCGGAAGTGGATTCGACCTTTCTACTTACTAACCAATGATTCCGAGGCAAATTGGGACCTTTTGGGAAGTCTTCTCCTTTTTTCTTATCTTACTACTGGAGACACTACTTCTACTCTGCAGGTGGCACCAAAGGTAACTAGTGGATACAGAATGCTGGGTTGTCCAGGGGCCTCGCTGGGAGTGGCGGACAGTTGTTGAGCTGGTAAAACAGAGGTTCTGAACCCAGAATGTTCAGAATTACGATTGTGACCTAAGGAATCGGGAGGTCTTGCTGGCTGAGACCTGAGAGCCTCTCAGACGGGCTGCTGGTTTGCTCTCATGCCTGATTGAGGCTGGAAGGTTGGTGTCTTTAGAAACACTACTGAGATTCTTATGCCGTCTAGGGAGGGCAATGAAAGGGTGAGATCTGTATCTTAGAAAAAGGACAGACTGCAGGGTAGAGACTGGGCAGGAGGAGGGACAGAACAGATGCAAAACTGACACCACATATGGACTGAGGTACAGGCTGTGGATAGAGAAGTGGACTGCCAGGGTCTCGGGTAGAGTGATCAGGAGGAAAGAACAGAGATCTTTTGGTTTCTGACCTGGGGCAGTCAGGTGGCTATGGATGTCAGGACTGGACAATTGGTTAAGACAATTGGTTTAGAATGTATTTTAAATTGGGTCCTTGCATAGTCACCAAGTTCATTCAACCAGCAGCAAAGATAGTTCTTTGCTGGGTGTAGTTTTTCCATGTATTTTAAAATACTGGTGCCAAAGCACTGCACCCAGCTAAGAGGCCTCAGAGGTGCTTATCTGATAAAAAGGAAGGACAGCATGTGCCGAAACCATCCAACTGTTGCTACCTTCCTGGACAAACAATTTCACATCCAAGTATTTAGTTGTGAATAGCATTTTTAAAAGTACCCTTTCCTTAGAAAGGTGCTATTTCCAAATTTCAGCTAATTTTGAAAATCACTGCATTTTTTAAAATAAAAAAATTATTGAGAATTTCATACCTGCATATAATGTGTTTTGATCAAATCCATGCCCACTTCCTTCCCTCCAACTCCTCCCACATCTCCCCATCACTTTTTTTCTGATAACTTCATGTACTCTTTTCTTCTTCTTTGATTTATTACTAAAATCTTTTAAGGATTAGATAAAAGCTCCCAAATGTTGTTGACGTTTTTGGCCTTTGGAATGGAGTATGTTGCTAAGAGGCCCAAAGGCATTGTGAGTTTTAGCCAAGAAACTGGCTACATTTCTTTGGAGTCTTTTTACCTTAACTGCCTAGCCAATTCCCAACATCTATTCTTATCACACTATCCTCTGAAGAGGTTACCCAACTTGAGAAGAGGGGATCAGGATGCAGATGGCTTTGGCTTCTTCCATGCTGAACAGGGACGCAGTGGGAGGCAATTGGAGTACCCCTTCGGTGGGTCTTCTAAAAGATTCCCAAGTTGCATAACTCTTATCTCTAGGGGGAAAAGAAAGTCCTTCAATAGGAGAAGTGAAGGAGAAGTAAAGGCCAGAGTAATTAGCATTACAAGTTCTAGACAGGGAACTAGAAAAACATCAGAACGGGCAATTTTCAAATGTTCATATGAGAGTCCATGGAATTTCTTGACAAGGGCTTCCAAAAGCATCCCTCTATTGGGTTCCTCTTCATTTTCCTTTTCTCTGCCAAGGCTGGACTCTAGAGTGATAGATTCAGGATTTGCTTTCAGGTGAAAATTACTGCATTTATAACCACACTTATAAATGAAGTAAGGTTAGCATTTTGGTTTGAGAAAAACAATGTTGCCACTGTTAACGTATAAGCCATTTAAAAAGCACTGGTTTTTTAATATGCAGATTTTTTCAAATTGTCAATAGAGGCCTCAAATATGACAAGTTGGAAATGGAACAAAAACTCACTTTAGGAGAAGAGTGCAAAGTGTAAATCACAAATGTGAAAAGTGAAGGCACGTTCTCTGTCAGGGTCTCCTAACTTGGCCCTTCTGGTGGTGGTGCATGTTTTTGCCTTTTTTGACACAGGTCTCCCTATAGCCCCAGCTGGTCTGGAATTTGATGTCCGTAGATCAGGCTGGCCTCCATCTCACAGAGCTCTGCTTACCTCTGCCTCCTGAGTGCTGGGACCAAAGGCGTGCACCACCACACCTGGTGTTTTTTTGAGTCTAAAGGTAAAGCTTCTTTATCTGAATAGTTCTAACTAGCATGGGTTGAGGAAAAGAGAAGTGGTAACCAATGAATAGCAAAGTCATCTGGGAACAGAAAGCATCTCACATGTAAAGTATGTGAGTGTTACCAGCCTAGGGTTTGACAAGTCTGTGCTGGGATAGATGCGGTAACCAGGCAAACTTAAGAGAACTGGACAATGGAATAAGAGCTACTAGGGTCTGGGAGAAGAGAGAAGGGAATATGTATAAATTCAGGTTTGTAAGCTGAAGAAAGTTCTGGAGAACTGGCACCAAGTATGAATGGGCCATACAGTTAACTGTGATTTTTAAAAGTGGTTAAACTGGTGAAGGGGTGGGGGACTGGGGTGTCTGTGTGGAATACAGAACGTGGACTCAGAAAACCAGATCAGTGGTTTGGCAGCTTCAAACATTATTTAGAGGTAAGGGACATTTCTAATATGATGTCAGGTCCTTGCAGTATTTAATTACTTAATTAACCACCCTCTCCCACTTGCAGAGACAATTCCTGCAGCGATGGGCTCACACCAGCCTAAAGCTGTACCCATCAAACAGAGTAGGGTGCTTGCTAGCATTTATGTTTTATCCTGTGGCTGATTATGTTTTATCCTGTGGCTGAGTAAGGCATGGATGCATGTATGTACACTGTTTCTGAAATCCCGCTCCCAGTATATAAGAGCCAGTTGCCAAAGAAGAAAGAGGCAGATGGGTTCAGAATGCACAAGCTGCGATTGAAAGGCGGAGGTCCCTGCACCCTAAAGCTGGAGGAAAGTATTTCTGTGCTAAGCAAGACAAAGGTGGGCTGTGGCCAACAGGAATGTACTGACTTTTCTCAAAACATCAGTTAAAAACAATCTGGCACCAGTGGTTGGCACACCACGCTCGGCTGACTATCCTAACAACTTTGTTTACCTATAGGGCCTGAAATGTATACCAGGGTTACCTGGTGGCCAAAACAGTGACTGTGGCCAGGATGGCTATGGTCATGTAGAACTGCATCCCCATACATACCTCTTTCTAGAATGAAATGAGTACTTACTAAGGGTCAAGCACTGTGCTAAGCACTTCACAGATTTAATGTCTGAAAATGGACATGGGCCTAGAGGAGTCAAGCCTCATTCCCAAAGTCGGAGAGCTCATGCGTTAATGACTTAACGTCCTGGGCTCACCTTCTCAGCCTGCAAAACTGATACTCTGAACCACTGAGCTACACTGGAGCCAAATGCAGACCTTGCAGAAAACAGACTCAGCTTCTCTTCTTCATCCATTCTCAGTCCTGAAACTATTGCTGTGACTATTCTCAAACCTCCGTAATCCCTGCTTATCAAAAATCAGAGTGGTGAATGTGTACTGATCGAGTGCACAGTTTAGTTCTGTTTCTAAGATGAACCCAGGAGATGTTTTAATTCAGAATCTCAAAATTCTATGTTTGTTTGTTTGTTTGTTTGTTTGTTTGTTTGTTTGACAAGCTCTTGCTGTATAGCCCATGCTGGGCTGGAATTCATGTTTGGCCTCACTTCCCCAATGGGATTACAAGTATGTAACACTACACCTGGCTTCAAAAGTCGTCTTTTTTTTTTTTTGAGACAGGGTCTCCCTGTGCCCTAGCTGGAACTCACCAGGTAGACCAGGCTGGCCTCGGTCTCATAGAGATCCACCTGCCTCTACCTCCCTATGCTAGGATTAAAGATATGTGCCATCATGCCCAGCAGAGAGCTTAGTTCTTGATTAAATATAATCATGTGCCTGCTTGTTCCTGCACCCATCTGGCTGAGACAGACCAGAGGGAAACGAAAGAACTTGGCCAGCAGCCTTCGGGGAGCCCTTCATGCTGCCTGCAGGGACAACCTCACCACATCCCGGAAGAGTGCACCACCTTCCATCTCCAGCGGCTTCTAATACCCCCTTCCCTGCCCTCTCCTCCATGGTCCTGAGCGTTCCTGTCCAAGGCCAGCTCCTCCGCGCTAGCACAAGACCCCACCCCTTTACCACATCAGGCTTTTGCTCTGGCCGGTCTCCCCTACTTCTTCTGCATCATCTGCTTTGCCCTTTTTACCAGACCACTCTTGTGAGCACACATGCTATTATCGTTCCCATCTCAAAAGCAGGTAAAACCGAACTTTTCCCTCCAGCAGCCCGGCCACACTTGTAGCAAAATTCCTTGAAGGAGGGATTGTCTAGGTTCTCATCCACTTCTCTCTTGAACCATCCTAATTAACTTTTGCTTCTACCACTCCATCACCGTTCCCAGTGTCCAACAGAAGTTCATCCGGGGGTCAGACGTCCATTTGATTTCACTGTCTCTGATAGAAACAACTGTTTTGACCCAATACCATCTCTTCTTGGCTTCCAAACTCTAAACTCTTCCAGGATTTCCATTTCGCTCTTTCTGCTGTCTTGGGGTCCGCAGGGCCCCTCATCTTGCCGACCTCCTATTCCTGGACCACCCCAGGGCTCAATTTTTGCACCTTCGTATTCTTCTTTACCATCCCAAACCAAAGTGACACCTCTGGCCTAGACCTCTCTGAACTTGACTTCTATGTCCAAATCCCCATTCAGTATCTGAAACCCCTCACCCTTCACACCTGCTCTTCCCAAACTTTCTCCATCTCGGTAAACACCGTCTTACTTCATATTCCTAAAGCCAAACTGTGGACCCACCCATGTCTTCTCTTCTCACACCTCAGTGCTCTCCACGACAAATGCCATTGCCTCTGACTTCATGGCTCATTCTTTGGCTAATACTCCTCAGGTCCAAGTGTGTAATACGCAGTGAACTCCTAATCCACCATTTCCAAGCTTCCTGCTCCATATAGCCTGCTCTCAGTGGAGCAGCAAGGATCATGCCAAAATGAGTGAGGTAGTGTCATTTCTCTTCTCACACAGTAAAAACCCAAGTCTCAGCCATCCTTGATCTGTCCCCTTCCGTCTTGACCCCGTCTCTTACAGGTC